GAACCAAGTATTTGAGTTGATGGTTGTAATTTTTATACAGTTGTTGTGATTTGTATTTTAACAAATTTTTTGATTAACTTTTGTTTCCGTTACAATATTATACTTTAATGTATAATATTGTAAAGGAACCAAAACATAAAACAATAGCTTTATTTTTTTATTCGGGCTACTTAAATTTATTTTGGGCTACCAAAAACTGAAGAATGCCTGCCCAAAGGGCTACCAGAGATTTTGAAATTTTGTGAGCCTTGCACACTAGCACTGTATCATCCCCCTATAATTATCTAGTAGCCACACTCTGTAACAGTAAGACTCGATGATTACACATAGGGGGTTACAGGTAGGCTCCCAACAGGCAGCAAAACAAGTCATAAAACAATAAAAGAGGCTTCCTTATCAAGAGCATCCCAACACACACATCCCAACTGAACCTCCACAGTTTACACCTTTTTTCATTACAAACACTTCCTTTATCTCTCCATGTCAGAGGTCAACTGAAACCATGTCCAACTGAACCTCCAAAGGTTACCAAAGGTCTACCTTTTTTATTACAAACTGCTCTTTTATGTGTCAATTACACTTTCTACTGACTAACCGAACCTCCATAGTTTTTCCACCTTTTTCTTTACAGCCTGCTCTTTATATCTGCATCTCAGAGGCCAGCTGAAACCAAGTCCACCTATATAAAAACACCCCATCAGACACATAGTATTTTCCTCTAGTGATGGGATAACCGGCTCTTTCAGCTTTGCTCACTAAAAAGAGCCGGCTCTTTCGGCTCCCAACCGGCTCTTGGTTGTTTTGTTGCTTTAATTAATTTATTATTAACAAAAATATAAAATTATACACAAAAGGAACTACTAATGTAAAAAAAAAAAAGTGGTTTTATTTATATATGTTTATATATATGCGGTGGCCCCTAGAGACAAAGCACGTACAAACTCCAAAACACATTTCTAGCGTTAACTGAACTTCCAAAACAGAGCTACCTAGATCACTTAAATTACACATTTGAAAGCATATGTGTATTGTTTGTGTTTAAATTTGCAAAGTTACTGATTTAAAAAATATATTTTTGAATTTTTAATTGCATGACAAACATATGGTAGACTCTTGAGCATATTTATCCCTCCTCTTGTGTTAGCTTTCTGTTATCATCTCTTATGTTAACGGGTCAGTTTTGACCCGTGAATTAAATCAGTTATAAAATACACTAAAAACAATAAGTGAACATCCAATTTGTTTCTCATCTCTTGGTTATCATGTTAGGCTTCCTTATCCATGAAAATGTTGGTTTTAATGCTTTTGGTGTGGGCCTGTGGGTCTTTTTTTGTCACTATACCCCTCGATTTCAATTGAAAAAAA